CCCCCCCCTCTCTCTTACCTGAGCTAAATAATTTCTCTTTTCTTTTTTCTCCTGCAGAAATAAACAAACAAAAAACATTTTTTTTAGAAAAGTAACAAAATGGCAGCAAACAGCTAAATACACAGATTACAAACATTCCGTTTCTGCCCACCACACACGGACCTCAGGTCAGAGTAGCAACTGTGTAATGCAGAGTCAAGGGAAGTCCTAGGCCTCTCATCAGCTTTCATATGGCACAGCCGAGGGAGACCCAGGAGGACCTCTCTCACTCTGCTGTGCGTTGGAGACAGATGGTCAGAGTAGATTGTAGCTTAGGGGAAAAAATTGGGCTTAGGGGGTAAGGGGGGATTTGTATTGGGAGGAGGGGGAAGTGTTTTGGCTTGCAGGTGGACTTTGTACTCAATAAGGAGGTGTGGAACATAGGAGCGGGTACCATTATTCCAGGAGGCATGGAAGATGGTACCATTATTCCAGGGAACAAAGGAGCGGGTTCCATTATTCCAGGGAGCATGGGTGATGGTAATATTATTCCGAGGGACATAGGAGTTGGTACCATTATTCCAGGGAACAAAGGAAGAAGCTGGCACCATTATTCCAGGAGGCATGGGAGCTGGTACCATTATTCTGGGGGTCATAGGAGCTGGTACCATTATTCCAGGAGGCATGGGAGCTGGTACCATTATTCCGGGGGTCATAGGAGCTGGTACCATTATTCCAGGAGGCATGGGAGATGGTACCATTATTCCGGGGGACATAGGAGCGGGTACCATTATGCCAGGGGGCATAGGAGATGGTACCATTATTCCGGGGGACATAGGAGCTGGTACCATTATTCCAGGAGGCATGGGAGATGGTACCATTATTCAGGGGGCACGGGAGATGGTACCATTATTCCAGGGGGCATGGGAGATGGTACCATTATTCCAGGGGGCATGGGAGATGGTACCATTATTCCGGGGGCATGGGAGCTGGTACCATTATTCCGGGGGACATAGGAGCTGGTACCATTATTCCAGGGGGCATGGGAGATGGTACCATTATTCCAGGAGGCATGGGAGATGGTACCATTATTCCAGGGGACATAGGAGCTGGTACCATTATTGCAGGGGGCATAGGAGATGGTACCATTATTCCAGGGGGCATGGGAGATGGTACCATTATTCCGGGAGACATAGGAGCTGGTACCATTATTGCAGGGGGCATAGGAGCTGGTACCATTATTCCGGGGGACATAGGAGCGGGTACCATTATTCCAGGGGGCATAGGAGCTGGTACCATTATTCCGGGGGACATAGGAGCGGGTACCATTATTCCAGGGGGCATAGGAGCTGGTACCATTATTCCGGGGGACATAGGAGCGGGTACCATTATTCCAGGGGGCATAGGAGCTGGTACCATTATTCCGGGGGACATAGGAGCGGGTACCATTATTCCAGGGGGCATAGGAGCTGGTACCATTATTCCGGGGGACATAGGAGCGGGTACCATTATTCCAGGGGGCATAGGAGCTGGTACCATTATTCCGGGGGACATAGGAGCGGGTACCATTATTCCAGGGGGCATAGGAGCTGGTACCATTATTCCGGGGGACATAGGAGCGGGTACCATTATTCCAGGGGGCATAGGAGCTGGTACCATTATTCCGGGGGACATAGGAGCGGGTACCATTATTCCAGGGGGCATAGGAGCTGGTACCATTATTCCGGGGGACATAGGAGCGGGTACCATTATTCCAGGGGGCATAGGAGCTGGTACCATTATTCCGGGGGACATAGGAGCGGGTACCATTATTCCAGGGGGCATAGGAGCTGGTACCATTATTCCGGGGGACATAGGAGCGGGTACCATTATTCCAGGGGGCATAGGAGCTGGTACCATTATTCCGGGGGACATAGGAGCGGGTACCATTATTCCAGGGGGCATAGGAGCTGGTACCATTATTCCGGGGGACATAGGAGCGGGTACCATTATTCCAGGGGGCATAGGAGCTGGTACCATTATTCCGGGGGACATAGGAGCGGGTACCATTATTCCAGGGGGCATAGGAGCTGGTACCATTATTCCGGGGGACATAGGAGCGGGTACCATTATTCCAGGGGGCATAGGAGCTGGTACCATTATTCCGGGGGACATAGGAGCGGGTACCATTATTCCAGGGGGCATAGGAGCTGGTACCATTATTCCGGGGGACATAGGAGCGGGTACCATTATTCCAGGGGGCATAGGAGCTGGTACCATTATTCCGGGGGACATAGGAGCGGGTACCATTATTCCAGGGGGCATAGGAGCTGGTACCATTATTCCGGGGGACATAGGAGCGGGTACCATTATTCCAGGGGGCATAGGAGCTGGTACCATTATTCCGGGGGACATAGGAGCGGGTACCATTATTCCAGGGGGCATAGGAGCTGGTACCATTATTCCGGGGGACATAGGAGCGGGTACCATTATTCCAGGGGGCATAGGAGCTGGTACCATTATTCCGGGGGACATAGGAGCGGGTACCATTATTCCAGGGGGCATAGGAGCTGGTACCATTATTCCGGGGGACATAGGAGCGGGTACCATTATTCCAGGGGGCATAGGAGCTGGTACCATTATTCCGGGGGACATAGGAGCGGGTACCATTATTCCAGGGGGCATAGGAGCTGGTACCATTATTCCGGGGGACATAGGAGCGGGTACCATTATTCCAGGGGGCATAGGAGCTGGTACCATTATTCCGGGGGACATAGGAGCGGGTACCATTATTCCAGGGGGCATAGGAGCTGGTACCATTATTCCGGGGGACATAGGAGCGGGTACCATTATTCCAGGGGGCATAGGAGCTGGTACCATTATTCCGGGGGACATAGGAGCGGGTACCATTATTCCAGGGGGCATAGGAGCTGGTACCATTATTCCGGGGGACATAGGAGCGGGTACCATTATTCCAGGGGGCATAGGAGCTGGTACCATTATTCCGGGGGACATAGGAGCGGGTACCATTATTCCAGGGGGCATAGGAGCTGGTACCATTATTCCGGGGGACATAGGAGCGGGTACCATTATTCCAGGGGGCATAGGAGCTGGTACCATTATTCCGGGGGACATAGGAGCGGGTACCATTATTCCAGGGGGCATAGGAGCTGGTACCATTATTCCGGGGGACATAGGAGCGGGTACCATTATTCCAGGGGGCATAGGAGCTGGTACCATTATTCCGGGGGACATAGGAGCGGGTACCATTATTCCAGGGGGCATAGGAGCTGGTACCATTATTCCGGGGGACATAGGAGCGGGTACCATTATTCCAGGGGGCATAGGAGCTGGTACCATTATTCCGGGGGACATAGGAGCGGGTACCATTATTCCAGGGGGCATAGGAGCTGGTACCATTATTCCGGGGGACATAGGAGCGGGTACCATTATTCCAGGGGGCATGGGAGATGGTACCATTATTCCAGGCAACATAGGAGATGGTACCATTATTCCGGGGGACATAGGAGCGGGTACCATTATTCCAGGAGGCATGGGAGATGGTACCATTATTGCAGGGGGCATAGGAGATGGTACCATTATTCCAGGGGGCATAGGAGATGGTACCATTATTCCAGGGGGCATGGAAGAGGGTACCATTATTCCAGGGGGCATGGGAGATGGTACCATTATTCCAGGGGGCATGGGAGATGGTACCATTATTCCAGGAGGCATGGGAGATGGTACCATTATTCCAGGGGGCATGGGAGATGGTACCATTATTCCGGGGAACATAGGAGATGGTACCATTATTCCAGGAGGCATGGGAGATGGTACCATTATTCCGGGGGACATAGGAGCGGGTACCATTATTCCAGGGGGCATGGGAGATGGTACCATTATTCCAGGGGGCATGGGAGATGGTACCATTATTCCGGGGGACATAGGAGCTGGTACCATTATTCCAGGAGGCATGGGAGATGGTACCATTATTCCGGGGGACATAGGAGCGGGTACCATTATGCCAGGGGGGAGAGGAGATGGTACCATTATTCCGGGGGTCATAGGAGCTGGTACCATTATTCCAGGAGGCATGGGAGATGGTACCATTATTCCAGGGGGCATGGGAGATGGTACCATTATTCCGGGGGACATAGGAGCTGGTACCATTATTCCAGGAGGCATGGGAGATGGTACCATTATTCCAGGGGGCATGGGAGATGGTACCATTATTCCAGGGAACATAGGAGATGGTACCATTATTCCGGGGGACATAGGAGCGGGTACCATTATTCCAGGAGGCATGGGAGATGGTACCATTATTGCAGGGGGCATAGGAGATGGTACCATTATTCCAGGGGGCATAGGAGATGGTACCATTATTCCAGGGGGCATGGGAGATGGTACCATTATTCCAGGGGGCATGGGAGATGGTACCATTATTCCAGGAGGCATGGGAGATGGTACCATTATTCCAGGAGGCATGGGAGATGGTACCATTATTCCAGGGGGCATAGGAGATGGTACCATTATTCCAGGGGGCATGGGAGATGGTACCATTATTCCAGGGGGCATGGGAGATGGTACCATTATTCCAGGGGGCATGGGAGATGGTACCATTATTCCAGGGGGCATGGGAGATGGTACCATTATTCCAGGGGGCATGGGAGATGGTACCATTATTCCAGGGAACATAGGAGATGGTACCATTATTGCAGGGGGCATAGGAGATGGTACCATTATTCCAGGAGGCATGGGAGATGGTGCCACCATAGTAATGGGAAGTAGAGTCTGGTACTGCAATCACAATCTGAAGGACAGAGCCCAGCAGAAACATCTTGGCCATCAGACCAGGAAAGGGACCTCCCGTCTCGGCTCACCTCCTAGGTAGGCGCAGTTGTAGTAGCTGCACTGCTGTCCGCTGCTCCTCAGGACAAACGACGTTTCTGACGTTTTTATGGCGTGAAACTTCTCCGCCACGGGAATTAGAACTTCCTCCTCCTTAAAGTCCGAGAAGACTTCCACGTTCGCCCCGAAACAGGTGAATATGGTGAACATGGTGTTAACGCCAAACCTCTGGGCGGTTTTTCGGCTTAGGGACGTAGAGGCGAATTGGCCGAAGCGCAGGTCAGGCGACACGTTCTTGTACTTCATCCAAGATCCGCGATAAGTCTGCGAGCCGGTGTCACAGCCGCCACTGCCCAGCACCTGCAGCGCCCTGGTGAGGTAGAAATGGAGAGCCTTGAAATGGAACCTGTCCATATAGTGCTGGCGTGATCGGCCGGCGATGGACACGTTGCGGTTCAGCTGCTGGTAGATGGGGAAGGGGCTCTCCCTGGTGTACAGGACCATCGATATTCCATACTCGTCCTTGAAGCCCGGAGGAAAGATGTTATATTGCTTGATTATCGCCCACCTCTGCTCCGCCAGATACCACATGACCGCCAATGGCTTGTATGTCTTCTCCTGCTCCAGGACCTTCGCCATTTCCCGCTCCATCTGCCGCGCACAGCCAATGTACTGATCATCAAACGCATTGCCCATCATGGTGAGGTCCACCGCCTGGCAAACAATCTGCAGAAGACAAAATTTAGAGACGCGAAGACAGACTAATACAAATGATTGACATCAAAGTGGACCTGTCATCGGATATCTATGCTGAATGCAGCACGCTCAGTAATGTGTCAGTGTAACACTTTCAGGTATCTACTACCTCTCACGGAGATCACATGACTCCCCCTGGCAATGCCTTCATCTGCTTTTCTCTCCAGAAGGAAGGCAACATCTTTGTTCAGCCGTCCTCCAGGGTCACCATCTACGTCCTGGACTGAGATGACGGCTCAGAGATGGCACAATCATGTAAATTCTGGTGCCTGTGCAGTTCTTGGCTGTGCTTCAGCCTCTCAGCCTGTGACTTGCTACAAATGCTTCCTCCTATCTGCAGCATACTGATGATTGGGGGAGGGGAGACTGAGGAAATGCTACCTCCTGCCTGCCACAGAATGATGATTGGGGGAGGGGAGACTGAGGAAATGCTACCTCCTGCCAGCAGTAGACTGATGACTGGAGGAGGGGAGACTGAGGAAATGCTAAGATAGATAGATAGATACTAGATAGATACTAGATAGATACTAGATAGATACTAGATAGATACTAGATAGATACTAGATAGATACTAGATAGATACTAGATAGATAGAAGATAGATAATAGATAGATAGATACATAGATAGATAGATAGATAGATAGATAGATAGATAGATAATAGATAGATAGATAGATAGATAGATAGATAGATAGATAGATAGATAGATAGATAGATGAGAGAGAGAGATAATAGATAGATAGATAGATAGATAGATAGATAGATAGATAGATAGATAGATAGATAGATAGATAGATAGATAGATAGATGAGAGAGAGATGATAGATAGATAGATAGATAGATAGATAGATAGATAGATAGATAGATAGATAGATAGATAGATAGATAGATAGATAACAGCAGTCTGTTACCTGTATGGATAATATTAGGTGAAGGGTTTGTAGTACTTCCGGAAATTTCCGTGTCATGATGGAAGAGTCGGCTCAGTCTGGGAAGGAAATAATGATAATATAATATTCTATCTGCAGTTGGATACATTGTACACAAATTAGAGATGATGGCGGTGTATATTTTCCTATTGGCTATTTCACTTTGCAATAGCCAATAGCAAGCTGGATACTGCACCTGCCCACTGCTGCTGTCAATCACTCGAAGGGGACCTGATGGAGAACTTCAGGTCCCCCCTCTGCTGATTAACAGCAGCAGTGGGCGGGGGCAATAGCTAGTTTGCTATTGGATATTGCAAAGTGAAATAGCCAATAGGAACCCAGCTATGCAATCCGAGGCTGGTTATTTATTTATTTTTGACGGCGGCCCCCCGATGTCAGAAAAAAAAAAAGAAAACGATGGCAGGGAAAGGTTTACTCTGCGATCCAGCAGATTAAACCTTTCCAGTAGAAAATGTTGCTCTCCCGGGCCGCCCGGGCAGCGCTATCTAATAGCGGGAGACTCCCGGAGCATCCGGGAGAGTTGGGATGTCTGATGAGGATACACTGATGGTGAATGTTAGATCAGGTGATAGGCGGTGAACATCTTCTAGTACCAACAATGTAATTATATTCTTGCGGGGTGGATTCAGGCCCGGCGCTACCGCAAGGCAAGTCAGGCGGCCGCCTTACGGTGCTGCAGGTGAGGGCAGAAAAAACAGGGCATTTTGACAAGTACTTGCCAAAATGCCCCGATGTTTGCGCTATGTTTTTTTTTTCACTTACCTTCGGTGCGGGAGAGCAGCGGCGAGTCAGCGCTGGTCCAGTGGGAGGAGCTCCAGGTGGGGTCCTAATTTAGCTGGCCGGCGACTGCCTGAGGATCCCGACACGCGCGGCACCTCGGGCAGTCGCCGGCCAGCTAAATTAGGACCCCACCTGGAGCTCCTCCCACCGGGACAAGTACTGGTCAAAATGCCCTGTTTTTACAGGGGGTCGGGAAGGGAGGGGGGCGCAAAAATGCACCTTGCCTGTGTAGGCAGGAAACTTATTACAAGTGATCTCGGCGACATCGCTGAGATCACTTGTAAACGTACAATCGGCTTCCCCACACTACATTTAGCTCCACTTGTGCAAAGCAGGACTAAATGTAGAAAGCAACTTACCGCCCGGCACCCGGAACTGCATGTTCCGGGCGTCAGGGGATTTTACACCGCTGCCGCCCCTCATGCTGTGTGAACAGAGGCAAAAACAAACGTTATTACTTTCATCCTGAAAAGAAAAAAGATTTAGAAAATACCTCATTATGGCCACTAGATGGAGCCGAGGAGCATAGGAAATAAATTACTATTATCTGAGCTCCTCGGCTCCATCTAGTGGCCATAATGAGGTATTTTCCGAATGTTACATTCACCCTGAAAAGGAAACATACTAAGAACGCTCTTATTTGCCTCTCTTCACACCAAACGAGCGTTCACAGAGATCGGCAGGGCGAATGGCTCCTAGAATTGTTTATATGTACACCCCCCAATGTCTCTGGAACATTTAACGATGTATTACCGAATCCTTTGTGTCGTTTCTATCTGCAAATCACGTCACACAATTCCAAATACAACCAGCAATAATAAAACACAAAGATCTCACCCGGGGTGTCCTGCGCTCCGATCTCTATCCCTGGACACAAATGTATCCTTCCATCCAGCCGGAGGAATGTCATTGTGGATACAACGTATGCAGAGCAGAGTCGCCATCAAATCTTCCATTGTGTTATGAAGGTTACATGAAACGGGGGGATTGTCAGACGCGGATTGGCTCTGCCCGCTCGCAGCTATGTGAGAAATGTGATACAATACACACACTTGTCTCATTCTCCCGACGCCACAATTGTCTGTTCATC